CACACACATATATATATATATACATATATATGTATATACATATATATACAATATCATATATATACATATGTATATATATATATAATATAAGCCTATACTGTTTACAAAATTCATTTGTACAAAGTGTTTGATTTGTCTCAATTCCTTTTGATTTGTCCTTCCATGCTTTTCGTTCTAAAGTAAATGAAATATGAAATGCATTTAGGACTTTCTGGTCGAAGAATTGTAAAATCGGAGATGAACTTAAAATACAATTTGTGTTTTTATTTTCTAATTTCGATATAACTGTATGTTTTAATTTTTTTTTTCTAAAAAAATTCAAATCAAATCAAATCTAATAAACTTCAACAATAACATTCAATACTTGAATTTGTTAATTTTGGTATTTAAGTATAAGTTATACTCTTTCAATTGAAAAATTATTGCATCGGCAAAAAGCTCCCGAGTCGTTTCACCCCGATTTTTCGCCCTGGATCGGTTTTGATGAAGTATATGTCGCATTTTAAGTGAGCTAGGATATTCGTTGTATATTTCAGGAGTTTCCAGATTCAAGATTCAATTAATTAATGGTACTTGAGCCATCGAGGGCAATTATCCGCAATCACAAATTCACAATCACATATAATAATAAGAAACGCCATCTTCTAAAGCAAGATAAATTAAGTAAACTTAAAAATGACGAGCTGCCTTAAAGTCAGAAGAGGTGATATTAGCGGGATCAAGGGCCAGGTCGTAAGCAAGACTAAGCGCGTATGGCAAGAACGATGAATGAAGACAGGGGTACGAGCAGAGAAAGGAAGAAGGGAAGAATGGCGAGAAAGACGCAATGAAGTAGAGCATGAGTGACGTTGAGGGAGACAAGCGTGTAATGGGTGATCTAGGTTCTGGGCAATTTTAGAAAGAAAACGAATGATGAAGAATTTCTGCCTAGATTCAAAAAGAATTGTATTGAATCTAAATAGGATGGTAATGTAGTTATTGGAGAAACAGATGGGTGGTGGATCAAGAATTTTTCCTGTAGGCAGTTTGTATACCGTAAGTTATAGAACTTGAAGCCATCATACGTAGTACCGTTTCTTGAGATGGATGACGGAAGTACTCCACACTACAGAACAAGATCTTGAAGTTGATTAATGCAAAGCAATCTCAATTACATTCTACTTACTATTACTAATCAACAGTACAAATTGGAATTATTGATCACAAAACAAATTCGTAATATCAAACTCATTCGCCGTTACCACACCCTACGTAAGTGTTATCATATCGCCTGATACCGAGACACAATCACCTGTTCGTAAACCAATGAGTTGCACCGTGATGATGTACTTGACTATATATACTTGAAATATGACAAAATGAAAACTCACCCAGACACAAAGACTGCACAATTACGGCGTTCATAAGAGTCTCATTATTTGTTTACAAAGCTATTTAAATTGTTTTAATTAGCTGTATCTTGGCGTATTACCAATAATGATTCCAGTACCACACATCTAATTAAAGGAAGCACTTACAAACGGATGTCATTTTATCTTTATTAACAACCATGCAATTTATTATAACTTAAGTTTGGTAATTCTTGTCCTATTGGCGATCGCATTATGCGTGAAAGTTATAAGAATACTTGGTTTTTACTCATACGATTGGTCGAAGAAGAAATACGTCATTCTGTTAGATAAAACACATGACGATTAATTAGTCCTAGGTGCCGAATATTAAAGTACAGTACAGTACCGTATATCTAATACAGATGTTCCAGCGTAGTTATAAAAAATCTATTTTCTACTTAATTCAACTTCATGAAAACTAAAATACCAATTAAAATACATGTCCTGCTTTTACATCCAAAGTGAAAACATCCACCTAATTTTAAAAAAAATCCATCTATTATATATAAAAAAAATTATGACTTTACTTTACTCACGTCTTTTTTAGTTGAATTTACATAAAAAAGAATTCATACATGCTTGTCACCGTACTCGAAAAGTTAAATTGATTCATCAGATTTCTTAAATAACTAAGCATAATCAACCCGGTGTCGGGAAGTATTTCCGAAAGCATATGTTGGAAATATTTACGTTATCCCGGACAGATAATTGGCCACAATTTATTGTCACTCAGAACATTAATTCACATAAATCACAATTTCATGTTTTAATGACCAACGTCTGTTTGTATGTATTAAACACAATCATCTTCGGCATCAGCATCGAGAGTTGTAGCAGACAACGGAAATTGATTGATTCAAATTTTGTTTATGATCGTACATTAGCTGCGGAATAACATTTTCTCCAAATTCGAGACTTAAATATAATCCTGAGTAAACGTGCTTTGCCCCTTACTAGAATAATTAAAAGGCATTATGAGAAAATTCAGAAAGGTCATTTAATATTAACAAATACATATAGTTTAAAAGATAGCACTAGTATACAACCAGTAGGCATTAGAGAAGTTGAACGTCTCTACCTCGGCTGCACAGTTAGGTTTGTTGAGTAGTGATGGAGA